TTCTCACCTACGTTCTTCCTCTTTACTTCCTCTTTGTCAAGCACACTTTACAGTATTTTTCCCAATTAAAAAATTATTCTTTATATCTTTAACTTTTCCTACTAGTTTAGCAGGTTTTATGATGCTCTTGAACAAGCCATGACAAGAAATTGCTTGCCCAAAGTCAGGTAGCTCATCTAGTTATTTTTGCCTGTTCATATCATTACATTTAACATTTTATTTTTAATCTTAATATTTTATTTTTTGATTGCTTTAGATTTTATGGGCTGATGAATCTGCTAATAGTAGATTTGTTTCTTCAAAATATTAATATCTACTTTCTTTTTCTTGACTTAGAGTTTTCTCTGGGACATCAAATACCATATTAAATAGTAGTGATTTAGAGTGGGCCTGTGTCCTGTTTTGCTCAGGACAGTAAAGGTATAAGCAGTTGTCCCAAGTAAATCCACTGTCTCAATACAACTGATGCTTGCACTTTATTTAACTCTCAGAAAATGTGTTGTTTGAGACAAAAATTTCATTGTCACTTTAGAATTGTGCATGTATGGAATACATCTTTCATTCCTGATGTAATGGTTACTCTTCTGATATTTTTCTATTAGTATCATGTTGGCAATAGGTTTTTAATAGAATTTTTTCACCTTAAGAAATTTTCCTTTTATTTTTAGTTGTTAATTTGTTTTATTTTATTTTAATCAGGAATTGGTGTTTACTTTTATCAAATGTTTCTCTTATCTATTATATAGATTACATTTTTCTTTTAATATGTTAATGTAGTAAACTACATTTTTTATTTCCTAATATTGAACAACACTTAAAATCCTATGGTAGACTATAGTTAGTCATGAAGTGTTATTAGTTTATTACATTTCACAATTTGATGTGTGAATAGTTTATCTGGGATTTTAAAATCGATGTTTATGGGAATAGCTTATAACTCTATTTATGTCCCTCCTTATCTGATTTGTGTACCAAAGTTATAAAAGCCTCATAAAACGAGCTATAGATATTTCCATGTACTTCCGTGTTCTATACCATGATGAAATTCTCCTAAAATGATTAGGCATATGCCACTTAGAGTTAAATATTTTTAAATTCCCTTTCATGATATTCTATCATTATTGGTTTATCTGTGTTTTCAAGTTGTATTTGTTTCAATTTGATGATTTATATTTTCCTAGAATATCATGTCACCTATATTTTCAAATTTATTAGTTCAAAGTTTTACCTAGTGCTTTCTTTTATATATCTTGTATATCTGTAGCTATGACTCTTTTCTCACAGTATTAATTGTGGTTTCTCTTTTACTTGATTAAGCGTGACAAACGTTTGTCAATGTGTTGGTCTTTTAAAATTAAAAGACTGGTTTTAATGATCACTTTAAATTTTTCAGTAGATTTTTTTTCTTGTATTAATTTCGATTTAATTAATGTTATTTATATTTTCTTTTTTTATTGTTTATTTTTCAACATCTTCAACTGAAATTTTAGTTAATTTATTTTTAGTCAATTTTTTTTTTTTTTTTCGGTTCGCGGGCCTCTCACTGTTGTGGCCTCTCCCGTTGCGGAGCACAGGCTCCGGACGCGCAGGCTCTGGACGCGCAGGCTCAGCGGCCATGGCTCACGGGCCCAGCCGTTTTAGTCTATTTTTTAATGTATACATTTAGAGTAAAGCATTTTTCTTTAGAGTACTGTATGCAGGGTTTTCTCTAAGTTCATTTCTATGTAGGATATAATTTTAGTTAAGTTTTCCTCTTCAGTCCAAAAATGCTCTTAGATGAGATATCCCCAGGATTTCTTTTGGATATCATTTTTTTTTAATTTCAAAATTTTATGACTTTTAGTCAGTGAATGTAGCCTGTATGATTTTTGCTTTTTGAAATGTGTTAAGGTCTCTTTCGTGGTCAAATTCAAGGTTAATGTTTATGAATGTTTCATGGATGATGAAAAGAATGTCTGTTCTCTGCTTAATACCAACAAAGTTCTAAATAAATTTGATTATTCATGGTTTTGTTACTTGCCTCCTCTATTATTTTTTTGGCTTCTTGATGTATTTGTGATTTAAATATATTAAAGAGGTCTGTTGTGACTGTGGAATTCGTGTATGTGTGTGTGTGTTTCTAATAATCTTTACTTTGTATGGTTTAAAGCCATATTTTAAAGCACATATTGGTTCATGACTGTTCTATCTTCTGAGTAGATGTGTATCAATTTAAAATATCCCTTTTGACCCTTTTAATAAATTTAATTTTGAATTACTTCTTGCCAGACATTAATATTCCTATACCCACCTTTGTTTATTTTGCCTTTGCCTCTCTCAGTGTTTTGCATATACCAGGGCTGGGTTAACTGATGGTGCTGGTTCAGCAAATAACATCACTCAGTAACACAATTGCATTATTCTTTCTTAGGGCCTCTCAGCTTCCTTTAATTTATTCAGGCTTTTTATCTGTTTATTAGCCTAGTCATTATTACTTGCATTTTTCTTGGGTTCCTGACCCCAACTTAGTCAGTTTGAAATGGTTGTATCTCAGGCTTCTCTTATATTTAAAAAATTGAATTTGGGGCTTTTTGTTACCATGCAAAGATCAAGAAAGCCTTCTTGCTCTCATACGGACAGAATAGAACTAGTCAGGATATTCCCCTGATTTTGTTGCTGATTTGTCCTGTGTTATTAGAGTGGGTATTTGTATTCCTGGAATAAGACCTTTTCTCTCTGCATACATTTAGAGTGTTTCATGCCTCCTTGAAGAATGGGCTAATGCACTAGGGCTAATGATGTGATTTGAGCTCTTTAGAGACAGAAAGCATATGACAGAGAGTACCACAACATACAGGGAGGTAAAAGGTAGAAATCATTATTTTGAACATGCAGGAGTAGAAATGCATTAGTATGGTACATGTGTTAGATGCGGCCGTGTAATTTTGATTACTTAGGTAAATTAGAAAACACGTGAAAAAAGTTTCTAAAATAACTTCTGGATGATACTCCAATAGCCTTCTACTGCTCTTGGAATATAGTTCACTGGCTACTTAACATCTACTAATGCTACTATCTCACATATTGTTTCATCTGAGGCTGTTGGGAGTTAAGGAAAGCATCCAACATGTCGATTGAAAAAAAGAAAAAGAAAAAGAAAATCCTCAGCTTGACCCCTGGGAGTAAAGTTAATGTGCTGGTAGAGCTCTGAGAAATCAGAAAATAGGCGGAAAATGGATAATAAAATGTAGCAAGGCTTTCCATGATTCAGTAGAATGGCTCTGAAATGATTGATGATATCAATCCATGTTTTCTTCTCCAAAATCCTTAGGAGATCATCATGGAAATAGCAATTAATTTTCAAGACTAAAGGAAAAAGTGTCTACAAATTATAAATTTTATATCATAGCATTTCCAAAACTCATACTATGAAGTTCTACTCTGAGGAGACTACTTATAAGAAAAAACCCAAAAAAACTTCCAGGGTTAATGCATATTAGCATATTTAAAGAAGAGTGGCAAGTTCTGAGATGAAGGCAGCCGTCCAACCTGGAGTTACTATGATTTCCAAACTTTTAAAAATCTAAAACTTTTATTTTGTGAAACACTTATTACGGTTCAGCAGTTCAGAAAAGACAATTTACTATATTAAATTGCAATTTTCATGAACATATCAGTCATATAATTTATTATATAACATTTATCCTGTTATAGAAACATGCTAGTTATGTAAGGCTTTGTTTTATGTCAATGAGTAAAAATACAAGTTATATATAAAAAAGCCAAATGTCTCTGATATATATACCACATAACTAGCCTATTTGTATAAATGTTCATACAAAAAGACTTAGATGTCATGACAAAACCAAATGTGTTGGGTCTGGAGTAAAAGTTAATTTAAAATATTTAATTTTAAATTAAATTTAATTTAATTTTAACTTAAATTTCTATGGCATCAGCTGGTTTTATCTGGCCTCCATTGGTTCTATGGAGTCTTACACAACTCTTTTGATCTTTAGGAGATAATGTATGTAGTCTAGATATTTTACCTCAATCTCAAGTTTATATAAACATATGCCTATTTGGATTACTTCAGAATAGAAGACACTGAATTAGAGAGTTTGACCAAAAAATGGCTTTCTTTTTAAAGTTCAAATATAGTTTGTATCAACTTATATAAGAATATATGTATATATATATTAAATGTGTACAAATAATACAATGTAGGGAAGCAGAGAGAGGCTATATTTTAAAATTTACATTTTCTCTTCCATACATCATTCATATAGTCTACATTATGCTTTTAGGTTTTAGCCAAGTTGTTTTCAGGGGGTGTAAATTTGCTTAAGAATCTATGAAAGTAAAAAGTGATTTGACAAGTAATTTTTTTTTCTGGCAAAATTATATAGACATGCCCACACATACACACACAGACATACATACATACATACACATATAAACATATACAGATGGACTCAAAGTAAAATATCTATATTGATGTGTGTGTTTATATACATATACAGACACGGATATATATATACACACACATACATACATATATATACACACATGTGCATAATCTATATTATTTTTGTGATGTTACATCTATCAACACAGATAATTGTGGAACTATACCTATAATTTGTATTGGTATTTCCAGACACAAAAAGAACTTATATTCCTTGTTTTAATGCTTCCTTGTTTTAATATAACTATTTATTTATGTCTTAAAAGGTATTTATAGGTTCCTCTGGGGACAGCATCTCTGGTTGGTTTGTGGTTGGTTTATATTTTCATTTTAATCTATTGTCCACAGGCTGCTTTGTAAACCCCATAACTCGAATGTGTAGATCATTCAGAATTTAAGATGAATTAATAGTGTGGCTCTTTGGGTCATAGAAAACGCTATTAAGACAACAATCTAAACATTTAAGGGGAAGAATCTTAAAGTCATATCATAGTTTCTTTTTTTAATATATTTCAAAAAGTAACTGACTTCACAAACACCAGCTCTAACATGATTTAGACAACTGAGAAACAGGCAAGTGTATTTTAAAATACTAAAATAAAATACATTTATACAAGTACAAAGCAAAACAATGCTGATAAAAATGTTAAACTTTATGAAAAAAATCATTTGCAATTCACATCAAAATAATTTAACATTCTCTATCGTTTTAATAGCACAAGCTGCAACAACAGAAAAAAAGACAGATATGTGCACATCATTTTAAAACCAAATCAGTTAAAGTGCAGAAAAAAGTAAGTACAAGCACTTGTAGCCCACACAAATCTTTTAGGATTGGCACCATCTCTCTAAAACATCTATATTCTATATAGATTTCTAATTACAACACCACCAGCAGCTGCCATTGAATTCTAGAAATACACACAATATACATAGTATATTTGTTCACATTGGGAAGATCAGTGAAATTCAGCCAACTATTTTATACATGCTTCGTTCTTCAACAGATAGTAGAGCATCTGCCAGGCCTCAGACCCTCTTTAAAGTGAATTCCGACTTGTCTTTATGCTTTTCACTGATCTGTATTTTTTCACAGTATAAAATTGTAAATGGTAACTATAGAGATTCTGACAGCTTGAGGGTTATTAATAAGCTGTGGCTAAATGTGAACTCAGGTAATACCTTTGAAGTCTCCAAAACATGTACATTTTGCCGGGAGACTAGCACAGGAAATGTTTTTTCCTTAAAAAGTGTTTAATTCCTGGTTTGGAAGTCACAGAACTGCAGCAGAGCCATTATACAATTCATGGACAGTCAGAAATAGCGCCTAGTCTACCTGATCACCTGCTGGTAACAGCAGAAATTTGGGAAAGACTGTTACCAACAAGGATTGGCACATTGGGGGGTTTCTTTTTTTTCTTTGCTTCAATCAAATCTCATACCGTTTTCCTTTCCACACTCCCTTTCTGCTCCCCACCCCTACCCCAGAGAGTTGGTTCTGGTTCTTTCCAATGCAGATACAGTCTTCTCAGGCTGCCACCACTCTTTCCCACAATAGAAGAAGGGTGGACTTCTTAGATAGTCCGTATAATTTGATCAAACTAGATCTTCTTTTTTTCATTCTGGGACCAAACTGTCCTTTAGGGTCACTTTTCTGAAACTTAGCATTCCACTGTACTTTCCCCTTCCTTTTAGTCATGCTGGTCCTGACTGAATTATCACTGGGCACCAGGAACAGACTGTTTTCAAGGAAATTCAATGAAAATAGGTACTCAAATGAATTGTGAAGTTCATATCCTAGCCCTAGAATGAATATTCAGTTCTCTTTGTATTGTAGACTTATTACTTGGAACCTGGTATTAGAATTGGCAAAGAGACAGAGTTAGCATCATTCCAAAATAAAAGATCCCAAGAATGCATTACTAATAATATTATATATTATACAATGTATTGAATGAAGTGGCAAAGGGTTATATAAATACACTGAAAAATACATCTTGTTCTCCTCTAATTGAATAAATTATTTTTCTTATTACAATTGACTATTAGCTCATATGGAATTATCAGATGGCAATTTATTCGCATTAAATTTTAATTTCTAACGGATTTTCTCACAAGGTAGTGTACTTTTAAAAGAAATATGTTACTAAAAAATTAGAAAGGAATTTGATCATGGAGAAAGTTTTAAAAATGTTCTTCTATTGGTCAACACAGTGAAACTTGTACTTAAGAATACAATGGAAACCAACGTAAGTGTTTTATGAAACAAAATTTTAAAACTCAGATACAGCATACTTAGAAAGGTTTTGATACTTAAATCAAGACAGTAATCCCCAGGTGAATGCCACCCTTTTGATGAGAATCCAGGGATATTAATACTCAAAATATTTACATTTGTTTTTAAAGTAGAGGCAGACATTGCTTTCAATGAAACCATAAAACTTAGCTAGATTCACTGTTTCAAGAGTCATTATAATATTTGGGATTGAGGGGCTCTGATGATACCATTTTTAAATTGTCATTGGAGGTCTGATTTAAAAAATTTTATATTTTAGTAAATTAATGTTAGCTTTTAATGTTTTCTTTTGGGAGATTTGATTTAATATAATTTAATATAAGAACAGTTATCAGGAAAGTAAAGTGGAGAAGTATATTTATTATAACTTTTAAAAGTGGGGAATGATAAATTACGCTAATGGATATATTTCCATTTCTCAATTCCTTTTTTTAAGTAGATGTGAGATAAAAAATACTTACCAAAATAAGGATATTGAGCTAAAGGAAAAAGGTTTTTATTTATCTTTCTCTCTGCTAAAAATATACTTCTGCCTCATAGCAAATCTTTTTCATAAGGCTATCTTTAGTATAAGGCTGGGTCAACTGAACTTTAAATTTATAGGACACCTCCTCCTTTTATTACTATCCTTATTTAAAAATCAAAAACATTTGGCACCTGAGGATAGCTGTAATGGGAGGAAGAAAGAGATGACAGTGGATGCAGGTCTTGAGCTATGAATTCTACCTGTATGAGCCTATCAAAGCACAGGTATTTCTATTATAACTTTAAATCTCTTTTCTGCAGTTTTTAAAAAGTGACAGTATGAAGTGCACAAAATTATATTAATAATTATTTTAAAAAGGAAAATATTAATAATTGCTTTGCCTCTTTTTGGAATGGCTAAGAAAGATTGTGTGGTTTATATTCGTTAAGGTTCCTCTGTTTTAGTTTTCTGTATTGCTTTGAAAAATCTACATTTGTCATAGTTCATAGCTGCCCTGTTTAAGCAGCCAAGAAAAGTTAAAATCACTGCTCACTGGCATAGCTAAATCTCTGCTACGCCGACTTGACACAGTTTAAAATTTCCAGTGTATTATGATTGTGTTAATTTTTTGAACAGTCCCTCCAATCATGACAATGTCTTCATTGGGTCTATGGACCATTCTTCCAGTGGTGGGACTTGAAAAGAACAGAGGAGCTCTTTGTGCATCAGGTTTTCAAAAGAAAGGAATGAAGAAGCCCAAATGCGTACTTTAAATATTTTAGCTGGCAATGCATTCATAATGAGGAGTGGCCACATTTCATGAAAGAGATAGCCAAGCTGGAGCTCAAGAATTATTATTATTATAAAGAGAATTTCCAGCTACACAACGCACCCCAGTGAGGGAATTACAAAACAGTATTCCAGAAAATATTTTTTGCTACTCCAGTATTGATTGGCAACATGGTGAAATAGTCAAGAAATCTTCCACTGGTTTTCTTAGTTAATGGAGGTGAATTGAAATAACTAGGTGGAATCCAAGATGCAGGCTTTTGGAAGAGGATGTCACAACCAAATTGGAGAGGAAAGTCTGGTAAAAGCCCTACATACATCAGCGCAGCCCTCTTCATACAGTTGTGTGTTGTGTATGGGACACACTCACATCAAGGCCTCAGTAAATACTGGGCCCAAGTACTGCTTTCCAATGTCTTTAAAGGAAAGAAAAAACGAAAAAAAAAAAAAAAAGAGGAAGAGAAAAGTTGACGTTTTGGTCCCAGATTTTGAGTTTGTTAGAAAATGTACATTCATGTTTGGTGAATCAAAGAATCTTCTGGGAAAAGAATTAACGTAAACAAACAAAACATATATTTTTACAGTTGCTTATTAACTATGCCTTTTCCCCTCCGTTATGCTGTTTCACACTCATTGCTTCCCTAGAGCAAAGCACTTAGTATGTAACTGTTTCAACAGACTCCTTGTCAGCCCTCAAAAACAGAAGCAGTGTTTCTTAAAAGCCCATGTTTTCTAAGGCCACTAGAAGAAGATCTGCCAAAAGATTTGTAGTTGGTGTCTTCGTCGGTTGATGTTGAATAGCACTATTAATCTCTTGTTTCCATTACAGGTGTACTTGGCGTCTTCCACCTCGGGTCTTAATCAGGCGACTGTGTCTGTGGGAACACCGGAGGTCTCGGCTCCGTTTGGGAACCCAGCGTGGTTTCCAAAGACATTCACAAGGACGAGGAGCTCTGAGTGTAATCTCTTATGATAAGTGTGTCGTATTTGGGAGACGATGGGATACAGAGGGCCGACTCGGACACTGGCGAGTTGGGAGTGGTACTCCCCGAGTCCACCGAGTCTCTGAAGGGGGACGGCGGGGTGAGAGCCACCAACTCCTCGAGGTCCGGCTTGCCGGCCGCAGCCTCGGGCCCGGCCGCCGGGGGCTCCCGGGCAGCGCCCCCAGACGGCGGGGCCGCGGTCGCGGGCTGCGCGCCGCCGGTGATCTCAATGGCGGGCAGCGGCTGGATCTCGGCGAACGTGGTCATGGTGGTGGGCAGCTGGATCTCTTTGGGGATCAGGTAGGACGAACAGAGCGGGGCGCCCGCGCCGGGGCCGGGAGCGGCGGTGGATAGCATCATGGAGTTGAGCTCGCTGATGTTGGCAGTGAAGCGGGTCACCACGCTGCTGATCTGCTCCATGAGCGAGCCCTGAGACGAGCTGCTGCGCGCCGCGGGCTCCGAGTGCAGCGACGGCAAGTCGTCGTCCGTGCGGCCGGCCGAGCCCGCGCGCTGGCTCAGAGTGCTGATGGGCGACGGCGAGCGCGGGCGCGCGGGCGCGGGGAAGTGCTCCTCGGCCTCCACCACGTCGTACAAAGCCTTGGGGCCGGCGTCCGGGGGCTCGGGCCCGCCTCCGCCCGCGCCTGCGCCGCCCGCGACCGCGCCGCTGCCCGCGCCGCTGCCCGCGCCGCCCGCGCACAGGCCGCGGCTCTCCGTGCTCTTGGGGAAGGGCTTGATGACGGCAGTTTGGTTGGGGTTCTCTTTCTTGTTGATGTGGATGGACAGCCGCTGCCACAGGTGCTGCCCCCGGCTACTCTTCTCGTTCTGCGCCCACGTGACAGATTTTCCATTGGAGCTGCGGAGAGAAGAGAGACAAGAGGTGACTCCGCGAGGCCCCGGACGGGAGGGCTTCCCCGGTGGTGGGCGGCCGTGGGACTCGGACTGGGGAGGGCTTTTCTTGTTTTCTCAGGAAATAGGGCATCAAAGGACACCAGGGAAAGAGATCTTGGACGTGGCTTTTGCTTGCTTGAGTGAAAGGCTGCTTTCTTGTATCTGGTCTTCCGTTCATCATGACCACGGAAGTGTGTCAAAGGGGATATTAGTGTGGATAAAGGGCTGTGTATGGGGATTCTGCAGTAGCTCTGAGACCACTCGTGAGTGCAACAGCTGGTTAGGCTGCAGACCTAGAAGCTAGGGCTTGCAGTATTGTGGTTGTGTGCAGACGTTCCGGTGACAGGGCACGGGCTTCCCGAAGTGGGCAGCCTCTGAAAGGAAACAGAACTAGGACCTCAGCTCAACCCAGTGATCGGAGGGCAGGGAAGGGGTAGGAGTCAGGGGTTACCAGGAAGTAGATAGTGGTTCCAATTCAGTTTTTATTCTGCACGCCCATGGTTGGTGCATTTAACTAGGGATTTCTGTAAGAACTCCTGACTTTGAACATGTTTGTACTTAGTCTGGCGTATCTGGTGGAAGATACAGATTCAGTGAACACATACACTAATTTGTAATTAATTAGAACTCTTCTACTTGGTAGAAATTTCCTCACGCATTTATTTTAAGGCCTAAAACTTGAATAACAATTCTGTGAGGGAGCATGCAGTGTTATTGCCTTTGGCACCTAGCTTATAGTTTCGAATTAGGGTCTCGATGAGTGTTGTCTGACTGACATGGTTTCTTAGGACCTTTCTCCCTCTTCTTTTTCCCAAGTAGTCCTTTTTCGTCTCTACTCTGGGAACTGAAATCTGCTCTGGTGAAGAAAGAATCTAATGAGGCTGATGCCTCAGCCTCAGAGCCTGACTGTGCCTTCCTTACCTGGAACCACAAACTATCGAGAGCCTCACCTATGGTCAGGTGATGTGCTCTGACCTTCAGGGATCTTATATGGAGAGATCCTGGTGTGATTTCCCACAAAGGAATACAAGATCTCTGTAACTAGGGGCTCTGCTACATCCAGACAGCTCTGTTCTAGGTGCTGTGACCAAGAGATAGCCTTGGGCAGTCTCTGAACAAAGGCTTTGACCACCCAATTTTATCATCTCAGCTGGTGGCTATTAAACTTAATTGTGCATAGGACTCACCTGGGGTATTTGTCAAATACCCGGGTGAACCCCAGGAGATTCTGATTGTCCAGATTGGGTTCCACGGATCTATGCATTTTACAGGCACTCAGCCCCCTGCTCCCTAAAGTGATTCTGCAGCAGGTGTTTCACAAACTGAGAAGTTCTAACAAGAAGTTATCCTTTCTCCCTGGGTTCCCATTGCTCCCTTGGCCTCCTTGCTGGAGGGCTGACCTGCCTTTATCAGACAAGGGACTGAATTGTGTTTGGAGCCCACCTGCCTTGGGACTGCCAACTGCAACTTCGAGATTCTCTTTTGCTTGAGACGTCCACTCCCTTGATAAGGGACCACTGTTTCTGCAGCTCCTATAACAACACGCTTCCTGCCTCTTTCCCACACTGCTCCCCATGTCTTCATCTGTCCCTTTCCACTTTGTGGTCTTCCTTTCTCTGCTCCTTGCACTGAAATCTCATTCCATTTAATATACCCAGTGTATTGCAACCTGGTGTCCTTCAGAATTCTTGAATGTGAAATATCCTCCACCCTCACCCCTTTTCCTGCAAATAATGAACAAATTATTTCCAGGTTTGGAGGTTGCTGTGCATTCCTAGCACAGCAGAAGGGACCCTGCCAACCTGTTAACTTCCTTCCCAGAGAGTTTCAGGGTTTGTTTTTATGTTTTTGCATTAACCTGACCTGCCACCCTTTATGTTTTCAGTGCATTACTTTTCTTTTTCCCAAGTGTCCACTAACTTCTGGAACATGGCACAGAAGAAATGGGACAGATGATTTATGGGATTTGATTGGGAGGATGGTTGCCAACAACCCCATTTCTCTCCTACTGGCAAGATAAGAAACAGACATGTCCGGAGGGACAATTAGTTTTTCAGGTAGCTGAGGCCACTTTTGACACAAAGCATGGGCTAGAAACTAGAAGTATAACTGGATTCATTCTACCAAGCTCTAGGAAAGTTTTTGCTCCCAGCACAGAGAGGTTTTGACGGAACGTAACTTTAACAGTGACAGTCATTGGAATCACATGTAGCCGGGCTCCCAAACATGAGAGCAGATTGAAAAACCTTTGGGTTTTCAATGTGGGAGAAGGAAACTGTCCTAACCAAGCAATCTGTACAAAGTACTGCCATCTTTCCTGGCCATGTCTTTGCTCACAGTGTCACAGGATCTGTGGCCACTTGGGAGAGAGTGTACCAGACAATCTGAATAACAATGGAAATGGACACAGGACACACCAGAGACATGGAGTCCAAATCTGAGCACTTCATTTCATTTCTTGGGTCATGGAATATTTTTTTCTCCAAAGCAAATGGAGATTCTTAAGAAAAAACTGACCTACAAGAGACGTTAATCTGTTATCAATAGAATGTAGTTTCTATGAAGACAGGGACCTTATCTACCTTGTTCACTGGCACACAGCGAGATCTTAATGAGCATTTGATGGATGAATAGGATTCTTAAGGCAACAGGGCTGTTGTGTGGTGTATGGAAAGTGCAATGGATGAAGGATCCTAAAATCTGTATTCTAATTCTGGATCTGCCATTCTAGATGTTTGGAAAATAATAATCTCCTTAAGCCTCAGGAAAAAAAGCAGATAGTATATCATTTGGTGAAGATTGCTGTGAGGAGATGAAATGAGACAATGAAAGTGAAAGGTTCCGGTAAGGAGGAGGTATCGAAGATGTTATTTTTTGCATTCTGTGTGAATACTAAGTTTCAAGAAACAAAAATAATATAGTACAGTCGGCCCTCTGCGGTTTCGCATCGGCGGATGCAACTCAAAGCAGTCAGGTCTAATGTTGGTTGAATCTGCGGATGCGAAACCTGAGGATACTGAGGACCGACTGTATTCATTGAGGACCGTTTAGGTAAGGGATTTGAGCAGCTTGGCCTTTGGTATCTGCTGGGGCTCCTGGAATTAATACCCAGGGGATACGAAGGGCCGACTGTACCCAAGGCTGTTTTGAGCTCTGGTTGAGGAACAGAGAATTCAGTGCAAAGTAAGTATTTATGGTAAGGCCATAACATACTTCTGGTTGTTCCTTCTTACCCTGACCGATTGTACCCAGCTTTGGAGTTACAGGGGTTTTTTTCTGAGGCGTGTCTTTTCTCACCCTATGCTGTCACCTTGGGTGATCACCTCTCCTCCACTAAATTTAACATTATTCCACTTCCAAAGTTTACTTCTTCCTGATCTTTCATTGAGCTGCCTCCTCTGCCTTTTCCTTCTTTTTTACCTAAGTACTTCCTCTCTTTTTTTTTTTTTTTTCTTTTTTGACTTTTCCTTAATTGCTTTTTCTTGAAGGAAGCTTTCCTGACCCCGCTTCTGACTGGGTTAGATTCCCATTGTCCCTGCCATAGGCACTGAATAACTCTTTGTTGTATGTCCATCTCATCTGCTGGATGGAGTGTTTTGAAGGCAGAGACAGAAGGTTCTTCATTTCCTGTTATATCCACAATACCCAGTGCATTGCCTGCTTAGTAATATTTTTTGGCTAATACTTGAGTGGATAAATGCATTCCATTTTTAAAAATTCATACTAATTACTTTTGTTAGAATTAAGTTTTAAAAATCATTCAATATTAATGAAATTCTTTTGTCTTGAGGATCCATCTACTTCTTATATAACTCTGTAATCATTAGTACTCAGTGTGTACTGAAAAGGTTGTATGAAAAGGTATTTCAGAAACTAAGTACAACAAGACAGATCTTGATATCTATCATGAAAATCACAAAGGAAGTGTTGATTTCTTTTTTGTAGTTCGTATATATCTGTTTTAGTGAAACTTCTCAGTGATGACAGTTTGTTGAGGCAGTTACCAGTAGGGGACCCAGAATGTGGCTCCAAGATCTGGCCATGACTGATGTTGGGCAAGTCACTTAATACCTTTGAACCTCTTTGCTTATTGGTAAAAAATAGAAATGAACCACCCTTTCTGACCTCACGTGATTTCTGGGAGGAACCAAAACAGTAATATACATTAGGGTGTTTTATAAAGCATAGCACCTCTGCAAGGGGTTATCGCCATCAAACTTTCCATTCAGTGGAGGTAAAATGTTGTTTATTAGTATTTAGGCTGATAATTTTTTTTTTTTTTAAACATCAGGATTATACATTTGTCCTAGGGCCTGAGGTAAGAAAAAGGAACAAACTTTTCCTTACCTGTCTACAGCACTTCACCTTCCCCAGCTAATATTTTGGGCATTAGAAAAGGAGGAAGAGGAAAGAAGATTGGAGGGAGAGACAGAACCAATGGTCTGCTACATCTGGGAAGGAGGACAAACTGGCCAAACAAAAGAGAAGAAAACAACACAGAAACCTTGGTCTTTGCAGGCACCAATCAGCCCTTTTGCCATATATAATTCTATGTAGTCTAGTGTTCTCATTTTTATGATGATTTGCTCTTTATTTCTGGAAAAACAAAAACAACAAAATTCAGCCTTTCAGTAAGAAAGAGGGTTATTAGAGGGTTAGGCTTTTTTGTTTGTTTGCTTTTTGTTTAGATTTTGGGTTTGCCAAAATGACACCTTCTACCTTTATTCTCAGAAGTTTGTTCTCCCTCTTCTCTTCCATGTGGGACACTTAACTAACTTATTCATTTCAAGCAGGCTCCAAATGTCAGCTCAATGACCTCTCCCAATTTCTCTACTCATCCCCAAAACCTGCAGGCATTAGAGCATACTGCCATGGCGCACCATCGTTAGGAAGCAAATGTTAGTAAAGAGAGAGTTTGACTGTCAAAAAACTCTAGGGATTTAGAATTTTTGTGTTCATGTTAAATGGCTGTTGAATGATCTGTGTGATTTTTTTCCCTCAGTACTCGTTTAGGGTTTTATTAATGGCATATAAGCAATTAAGATTCTCAGAATATTTCACTGAATTAAAAAAAAAAACTAGGCCCTTATCCTCCTTTTATTACATTACATTGTTTATTAATACTTTCCTAAGTTGCATAGTTTCAGGGCATAAGAAAAATCAAATGTATCCTCTGAAAATCAAAAAATTATTTTTATGAAAAAATTATCTTCATTACTAAACCTCTCTCTTTTTTGTGATTTTGAGTTAAGGGGTAGCCAGAAGAGAGGTACAGTAAGGTTATGAGCTTCCTAATACAAAAATGTATTTAAAAAATACAAAAACCTTGTAACATCATTAGCAAATATGTCTTTGGAATGACATCAGACAGTATTAGGTCAATAAAATAATTTTATGAAGTAAGGAATATTATAAGCAGAAAATTTGCAATTGCAGTTCCATTTTCTGCACATTTTCTTAAACTTTTATTTTCAATTTTTAAAATTTTTTTAACATCTTTATTGGAGTATAATTGTTTCACAGGGGTGTGTTAGTTTCTGCTTTATCTTAAACTTTTATAAATCAGTCTATTTTGCTTTCAGTAATTTGTTTTGAACTACAAAATATGGAAATATGGTTTTAAAAAATACTGAGGAATCTGATGTTGTTTACATTCAGACATTCTAAATTCGGTGGGAGAATTTCTTTCTGAGCCTTGCCTAAAACCTGACATCTTGATTTTGACAATTACACTGAAAAACACACCGTAATATATAAGAAAATGGCAGAATCATCTATATAAATTTACCCAGTTATAGCATAAATGGATGTAAATAGCTATTCTGCTGTCAAAAACAATTTAAATGGCCAGGATGATGTATGCATTAGAGATGCCCATATAGAGAAAAACACTTGGGTAAATGGAAATGAAGTCAAGGACTAAATTACCTGATAGAGGCATAATAATCAAAGCAATACCACCTGTTTTCATAGTGCTTTATAAAGCACTTTTAGGAACGCTGATTATCAGAGGTTGATAGGATCAAAGTGTTTATCCTCCTTCCAAAAATGAGAACACCGAGACTCAGAATAGGTGATTTACCCAGGGTTACACAGAAAATGACAAAGGGGGGACTAATACCATGTCATGATTTTCAATTCCATTTTCCATGACAGTACACTGTCCATATTTGTTTTTTGAAGTGAGCTCTCCTTATTCCATGGCAGAGAGCCTCAGATGTTACCTGTGATGGTATGTGTGTTTAAGTAGATAAGTTAGTAGTAATTTGATTTATATTCTCTCTTACTCACCCTGTATTGCTTTACTTCTTTTTTTTTTTTTTTTTTCCTTTTTGCGGTACGTGGGCCTCTCACTGTTCTGGCCTCTCCCACTGCGGAGCACAGGCTCCGGACGCGCAGGCCCAGCGGGCATGGCTTACGGACCCAGCCGCTCCGCGGCATGTGGGATCTTCCCGGACCGGGGCACGAACCCGTGTCCCCTGCATCGGCAGGCGGACTCCCAACCACTGCGCCACCAGGGAAGCCCTGCTTTACTTCTTAATCTTGACACTGCAATATATTTTGCAGTCTCAAGAAAACACCCTGCATCTCCCTTTGGTTGCTAACTCAAATAGCACAGGTTGATTGAGCACCTATATTTGTCAAGGATGATGACTGGATGCCTTGATGATGAAGGCCCTTGAAGCTTACAGCCATATACATTAATATTATAAGGCAGTTTCAGCCTTTTTTTTTCATGTTGTGATTCAACAGAAGACAGTTGTCCTGTGTATAGCACACTTATTTTCTCTCTGACTTATTTTGGAATACCAGTAAATGAGAGTGGTGTAATTTCAGGGATAATCTTAACTCTGCACTATTTTGAAAATTTTGGTATTTCATCTAATATTGGTAGTAAGTGATCTGTGGTACCTTTGCCAATGATTTTGATTCATTGGTGCTTTTTGGTATTGCGGCTGAGAGTTACTGATGTAAGAGACTTCCCTCAAAGAGGGTGTAATTGATTTCAAGAGAACATACTTACAGAAGAAGGCTAACAATATGAATTACAGTATTCTGATAGAGGTTGTTTTCCTTTTACCTAGGACCTTGAAATGAGGAAGCAGATGGCCAGGAGGAAGGATGCTAAACATGAGGTGAGTGAGGGATGGTGGAGCATGGGAACAAGCAGTCAGTTCATTGAGCTCTTAGAGGGGACGGATCACAAGGGATTCAGACCTTCACAAGAAGAAATCATTTCTAGTGGGAGGGGGTTGGCCAGGGAATGTTGCCTGCCTACAGGAGGCAGGTTGCACCTAGGCCTTGAATGATTAGTAGGTTATGGCAAAATCCAAAAAGAGAGTGCTAAGCATTGCTCTCCAGGAAGGATAGCAGTGACAGAAGTCCAGGAATCCACAAAGAATTTTCCAGGAAATAACCAGTAGTCCAGTGTGACTGTGTAGGTATAGAGTAAGAAGTTAAGGCATCAGAAGGTAGAGTTTAGACTTTTTTGTCTGCTGTAAAAATTCTTCCTGGCCACCCATGACCTACAAGAGTCTTCTTTCTTCTATTGGATTGGCCAAAAAGTTCATTCAGGTTTTCCGAAACATCGCACAGGAAAACCCGGACGAACTTTTTGGCCAACCCAGTACTTTCTTTTGCTATTTTAATAACTCATTAGTAATCAGCCTTGGACTTCTTATTAGTGTCTGGCATAAATGGGTGGTCTAATATGTTAGACCAGAAAGATGCTCTGATTATTAGATGCATATGTCATCTACATGCTTGATCAATCAATAAATGAATATATCAAGAAGTACCCATCACTTTGTTATTCTTCAACTGTAAGAATTCTCTGTTGTTATTTAATATTTTAAGGATTTGATCATCTTTCTCGAGCTCAACAAAAACAGTTGAACTCAGGAACCATATATGCCGTAATCTTCTTTAAACCTTCACTACAGCTTCATCCATTGACCTTATTCCTTGTCTGGCCCCAGTCCTGGTCCTACTTCAGGAAGACGTTCAAGCCTAATTAATATTTAAGTTAATTAGTCCTTCAGGCAATGAGGAACCAAGAAGATTTGACACAAGCAATAGTGGTACCCAGAGTAGATTTAAGAGCTTGTTTTAATAGTGCAGGGATACAGTGTAAGATGCTAACAGTTGTGGCCAAAATGAGGATGGAAAGGAACATACTGATATGAAAACCATTGTGAAAAAAAGGCATTTGTCCTTGCGCTTTGGGTTTTTCTTGTTGGTATTAGAGGAATTCAGAGAAAGGGTTGCTCACGGGGGAAAGAAGTTTCAGGGAAGGATTTGCAAATAAAGTGGAGCTTACCGAGGTCTTAAAGCCTGGGGAATGTTAAAATAACATGGATAAACAAGATCCAGTTAATATACATCTCGCATATACGGCAAAGAAACTAATTCCATGTGTTTAACCCTGTGAAACCCTTCTAACAACCCCGTGGTGGACTTTCACCTCCCTTTTAAGTAGCTGGAGCGGGAGTAGTGGCTGCATGCTTCTAAGATAATTCCCTCAGAGGACATCTCTTAGTAGGCATTTAGTCCCTAATAAAATCCTAGCGGGAGGAGAACCATTCAGCCCTATTTTAACTTACCTTTGGTCTAACAGCAGCGGAGGCCTTTTCAGAATGTTCCATGGCCAATCAGGGTGGGTTATTAAAGTGCCTGATGGTCTAGGATTGCTGCTACTTCCCCCAAGTTCTTATAAAGAGGAAGCATCTAACGAAGGGCATGCAGGAGCGTGTGCCAAGCAGAGGCAGTTTGCTGGATCATCACAGAGTTTTCTTTCTCAAATTAAGCTATTTCTTTCGATCCATAATTCAGTAAGCCAGACTCAAAACTAAACTCCTCGTACTGAGATATAAGTTCTAGGTTTAGTTGAGGTGCTTCAACTAAGATTAGAAGATTTTCTTTTCCAAAACAGGAAATGATTTTTTTTCCCCAGCCATCACTATAATGCCCAGATTGCAAGTGAGTAAAGAAAGAACAAAAGAAGACACAGCTGGGCTTCCCTGGTGGCGCAGTGGTTGAGAATCTGCCTGCCAATGCAGGGAACACGGGTTCGAGCCCTGGTCTGGGAAGATCCCACATGCCGCGGAGCAACTGGGCCCGTGAGCCACAACTACTGAGCCTGCGCGTCTGGAGCCTGTGCTTCGCAACGAGAGGCCGCGGTAGTGAGAGGCCCGCGCACTGTGATGAAGAGTGGCCCCCGCTTGCCACAACTAGAGAAAGCCCTCGCACAGAAACGAAGACCCAACACAGCCAAAAAAAATAAAAATATACATAAATTTAAGAAAAAAAAAGAAGACACAGCTGTTTTGTGCCTGTGGGCTGAAGCTTCCAGGAAGAATCCAGCTTGATTTAAACCTTGAATAAAACATGGGATTGGGATTGATGGCAAAGGAGATTCTTGGAATGATAGTAACTCCCGTTTGAATAGAACTTTCTACTCCGCAAGGTGTTTTCATCTGTATTATTATATTTGACTTTCACAACAGCTGTTTGACATAGCACTTCTAATGACGTATTTATAGGTATGTTCCTGCACAAAACTTGGAACACTCCAAGGGCAGCAACTACATGCATCTCCTGTGTTTAATATGGTACCTGATGCAGAGTAGGTGGGCTGGGAGTGTCAAGCAAATGAGGTAAATTCTTTCACCTTGAGTGCTTGGTATAGGCAGGTATTATTAACCTGTATTATAGATGCAAAAACTGAGGTTTATGGAACTTAACTAAGTTGTCTAACTCAAAAGGCAGAACAGTGCCTCAAATATGACCCTAAATCCAGATCACTGCCGCCACGCAATATTGTCTCTGTGCTGAGGGCCAAGATACACACTGAACCAAAGGGCTGACAAGACATACCTTTGTGGAGCAGCAAGGGAAATGCCAACACCCAAGTTTGTGTCCATAAAATGACCTGATAATAAATTCCAAAGTTCTGTGTCAACATTCACCTGAACATTGCAGAAATGACTCCTGAGGGACTGTAGGATAAGAGAATGTCCCCGGAATTCTACAGTGGTTACTGAAAAAATGATTTCTGTTTAGACAAAATATTCCTTTTGACCTTAGTTAAAGCACCTCAGCTAATGCATGTAACTTAAATCTGATGTATGAAGAGTACTCTGGATTCGAGGCTTGAATCCTGGTTGGACATCTACCACTAACATGCTTATTACGTATACAAAGCTCCTCATTTAAGAAAGCAATTTTTTGGATTATTTTTGCTTATTGCATAAAATGGGCCATGCCACAGGTGTGAGGCACTAAGTCAATTCCAGTTCCGTTCCCTTTGGGTTGCTTCACGTGCCTCATGATGTATCTTTTCATTCCTTTCCTCCCTCCCTCCTTCCTTCCTCCCTTCCTTCCTTGTATTATGGTAAGGACACTTAAAATGAGACCTACCCTCTTAAATTTTTTAGTGTACATTACAGTATTATCACTTCACACCTGTTAGGATAACTATTAATCAAAAAAACTCACAAAGGATAACAAGTGTTAGTGAGGATGTGGAGAAATTGGAACCCTTGTGCAAAATGCAAAATGTTGCAACATCTGTGGAAAACAGTATGGAAGTTCCTTAAAAAATTGAAAACAGACTGCCACCTGATCCAGCAATCCCACTGCTGGGTATATATCCAAAAAATTGAAATCAGGATCTCAAAAGAGGTATTAGCACCCCCATGTTCATTGCTATATTATTCATAGTAGCCTAACAACCTAAATGTCCATTGGTGGATAAATGGATAAAGAAAATGTGTCGCTTCTGAAGAGACATTTTTCCAAAGAAGACATACAGATGGCCATCGGGTACATGGAAAGGTGCTCAACATCACTAATCATCAGGGAAATGCGCATCCAAACCCCAATGAGATATCACGTCAGACCTGTTAGAATGGCTCTTATCAAAAAGAGAAGAAATAACAAGCGTTTGCAAGGATGTGGAGAAAAGGGGACCCTTGCACACTTTGGTGGGAATATAAATTGGTGCAGCCACTGTGGAAGACAGTTTGGAGGTTCCTCAAAAAGTTAAAAATCACACTGCCATGTGAACCCAGCAATTCCAACGCTGGGTATTTATCCAAAGAAATGAAATCAATATCTTGAAAAGATATCTGTACCCTAATGTTCGTTGCAGCATTATTTACAATAGCCAAGATACGGAAGCAACCTGAGTCCATTGATGGACAAATGGATAAAGAAAATGTGCATAAAGAAAATATTATTCAGCCTTGAAATAGAAGGAAATCCTGCCATTTGTGACAACGTGAATGAAACTTGAGGGCATTATATTAAGTTAAATAAGGCAGATAAAGACAAATACTGTGTGATCTCATATATGCCATGGAAAGGAAAAATACCTTGCTTATAATGTTCTTGTGAGAACTTAATGTATAACATTTGTGAAGGGACTACCCCAGTATCTGATGTATAGTAATTACAGTAATGGAAGCAATTGTTATTATTAGTCTTACTCGTTTTAGAACATCTCTAAATATAAGTTATAACATTAATTTGAAGTTGACTTTGGGGAGGAGTGAAGAGAAGACTACTGCAGCCATCCTAGCCTATGGCTCAGCACCCAGCTGGCCTCTGCTGTGCTGCAAAGGCAGCCTCTTTCTCTTCCGTGGACTCTGAATTTTTATCATTATACAGTGTCCTTCTTTATCTTTCTTTATGGCCTTTGTTTTAAGGTCTATTTTGTCTGATACGAGTGTTGGGACCCTGCTTTTTTGTCATTTCTGTTTGCATGAAATGTCTTTTTTCCATCCCTTTGCTTTCAATCTGTGTGTGTCCTTTGCCCTGAAGTGGGTCTCTTGTAGGTAGCATATTGTAGGCTCTTGTATTTTTATCCGATCTGCCACTCTGTCTTTAGATTGAGCATTTTATGGACTCTGAATTGTATATAACTGTGTGCCTAGCTGTTTCTGAACACTCGATTCAGGTTTGTTTTATTATTATTTAGTTTCTATTACTCTTAATTCTATTTGCACTGGCATTGGTTATTGTTTATGATATTAAATGAGGAGTTAATATGATAAATAATTGTTCTGTGGGAGAGGGGTTCCATATTGCACTGCAGTGATCTGTTTTTCTGACTCTGTTTCCCAATAGACAATTGATTTTCAAGGGCATTAGTCTTGACTTGGTCATCCATTTATCTCCAGAGTCTTGGCAGTGCTTGGCTTATAGTAGGTGCTTAGTAAATGATCATTACATGGAGGAAGAAATAATTGAAGGAATAAGAGGCAAAAAAATCCTAACACAGATATCACATTTTGGGGTTACTTTCAAATCTGAGTTCCTTACTCATTTAATAATGACTATTATTACATTGCTGTTACTAGATTCCCTAAGGTGTTATTGAACAGTTATACCCACTAAAATTAGATGCTGCATCTACTAGGTGAAAATCAGTTACTCAACTGACTAGGGGTTGATCTTTCACATAATTGATATCATGATGTAGCAACAGTAAAAATAACTCCCTACCACCCTCCTTCCTTCAGGCACTGAATGGGGGCTTTAGATCTGTATCATTTGATTAAGCGGGCCCTTTCTCAAAGAGAGACTGGGAGACTCAATATCTCTGCCTCTCCTTCATGGGGTGTAACATGAGCACATCAGAATGCAGATGCCAGGGAGCACTGAGGTGGAATCCCCCTGCTGAGACAGGCAATAGTAACATTCATTGTTGAGGATTTAGCCAATCCCGAGAGCAGACCATCTCCGTATGAACTCCCACGTAACAGTGCTTAGAGAATTTCTGGTTCTTAGAGCACCTCCCTGTTTAGGACTCTCTTTCACTTCTCCTGCAATCAGGAAGACTGCTCTGAAACACACTTAGACTGTCCACCGTGAAAATATGAAAAGGTGACAAGTTATGCTATAGTCAGGCAGAAAGAAAAAGAATGTTCACATAAAGGGAAAACGGGGACATAGTATTTCAGGAAGCTAGAGTGTTATGGATACATACAGTGTTCCTTTCCCTTTCCAAGTGGGGGGTCGAGGGGGGAGATGTGAGGGGGTGTCTCTAAGGCCCTGCCAGTGTTGCAGATAAGGTCATGCTGTTGTGCTATGACTGCACGCCTTGTAAAACTCCTTCTCTCCTGCCGGCAACGTGGCTCTGCAAGAATCTCCCCAGGCATGACTTCATAGGGTCCGGTCCATTCTATAGTGTCATCATAGAAAACATAGGCAAATGAGATGCCGGGCGACACTCCTGGTTTTCTGTGGTTGTTGGAGCTTTCCTCGGCCCCTCCCTGGGACTGGTGGTTTGGTAACGGCTGCAGAATCAGCCCAGATGTTTGCAGAGTAAATAGGATGCTTGACTGTGACTCTGGGAAGCAACTGGGGGGCGGAGTGGGAATGGATAAGAAAGAGGGCCTTATCAGCTGGTACTAAAAGTATCTATGAAAGTCTCATACAGTTATTCTTTTTCCAGCCCTTCTGTTCTATTCCAGAGCAAGCAAATTGGGATTAACTACTCTAACCCCTTATTTAGAAATAGTATACATTGCAGTTGTCTCCTCTCTGATATCTTAATATCTTTCTCTTAATATTCATTTTAAACTTATCTCTTTTGGATAAATATTTTGTGTGTGTATTCATATAAACAAATAGGACTCCTCCCATATATGCTTTCTCTCTGTCAGTTTTTACTTGATGTTAAGGAAATGGAAAGAAAAAGTAGGAAGGGAAGATCATTTGTTTCTACTTAACTATGCTTATCTGTGAGGCTGAGGTGTTTGCTCCATCAGAACTCTCTCAACTACAGCATACACTGTTTCCCTCTGCCTAGCAGGACATATCTATACTGATATATTATACTATAAGCCTTGCCATTACCTTGGCTATATTCAAACAAATGCTGAATTACGGTATCTTACTGTTGTAGGGAAATTTAGACCATTACAGTGTAGACACATTGAGTGGCCACCTTTGTAGATCTGGACCTGACCCAAGGAAGCTGGGGTCCCCTTGCTGTCTCCTGTCTCCCTCCTCCCCGCCCCCACCGCCCCCATTCTCAAACAAGACAGCCTTGAGCAAATCTAATCGCTAGGCTGATCAGACCTGAGTTCCAAGCACTGACTAAACTCTCTCAAGAATACCGCATGACGGAATTGAGACCTTATGTTTGCCATGAATAGCTTCATCTCCTACACAAGTGGATTATTTCAGAATATCGGTTTATGGACTGACTAAATCTGAATGACTTTGGAAACTTGTTACACTACAGATTCCTAGGTTGTGCTGACCAAGACTTTGCCTTAGGATGTTTGATAGGCAGCCAAGTTTGCTACGTTTGGGAACTCCAGTCCGAGACAGTGCCTCAAATTACAAGTCACTTTGGACAGAGCCCCTGCGCTCATTTGATGCAGTCATTTTCACCATGTCCTGTCGACTCTGATGCTGTCTGAATGATTTTCAAGTAGAGGAATTGTGCCACTTAGTCATATCTGAATAGAAGGAAACTAGGAGCCCCAGTAGCAGTCTGTTGAGTTACCCGCCACAAAATGATCCACTGAGGTTTATCTTCCAGACACACTGAGATCCAAAGAAAGCTGTATAAAGGGATTGTGGGCATAAGACTATCAGATACACCAGTGTGCACACATATGTGCCTGCACGTGTACACGTGCTCTCACTGCCTTGTTTCTGGGAGCTGTGAACGAAGTCAGCCAAGCTCTTGGCCAGGGCTGCTGTGAATGATGGCTCAGGCTGTACACTGCACAGTTCAGGGCATCATTTTCACAGACTGTGATGTGAACGGCCCCCAGAAGTTGTGCAGTGTCCTTGTAGAAAGTTAGACATTATTTTGAAAACCAGAAGGCACCCACTACTGCGGAATCGAACAACGTTTGGAGGTGAAAGTTCACGGGATTAGATTCTCTTCTTGCTCTGCAGCGGGATCTCAAGCTCTGCTCTCAGCACATGGGCACACATATGTACACACTGTATCTTCTGCACTTCCCCTTTCCTTTAATCCAGGCTGATTTGCGAGAGCTTCCCTCCCACACTTCAGTACCACTGATGGATTGGGAAAAGCCACAACAAATTAGGGGTGGGGAGTTAGTTCATGGGGGACAATTTCCCAACTCAGGGCTCCTCCAGCCTTCTTTATCTCCAGAGCCCTTTTCTTGAAACCCAGTGCCATGCAATAAAGCACGTTTATTTCATGCAAACAAAGCTTAGTCGATGCTTATAGTTCCAGCTACCCCAGTTTCCTGGGCACAGCTTGGTTGGGAGGGCCTGGTATGACGGAACATGCACAGCGCAGCGACAGGGTGTGTTCACCACCAAACACAGAGAAGGAAGGGAGCTGCAAAGCTACGGTAGCTAGAGGAGGACTAGCTTTCCTGATTTCAGTTCACGAAAAGCCTCTGGCCTCTACAGTTCACTTGTTTGGCCTGGCATTTGCCCTTGGCTGTGAGATGACATTGCATTCAAAGTAAGTCAGATGAATTCCCAGGCTTGTGGGATTAGGGCTGGAGTCTCCCCTCTATTGCAGTCCTTCCCTCAAAACCAGTCCTAGGCTTTTGCATTTGTTTTTGTTAAGCAATTGGATCGTCCTGAAATGTGTATTTCCTCCAATCTCTTCCACTTTGCAAACTCCACAGAAGCATGTAACCAGTAATTTAAAACCCACAGGGACACTGACTGTGAGCTAAGGCTTCAGACATGCAAAGCGCACAACCCTGGGGAACAGCAGCGTCCGGGACAGGAGGCTCCCATCACTTCACACGAGGGTGGCGTGGGTTTTTGCAAATCAAACGCACGTAGAAGCCCAGTGGTGGCCCAGGTTGGACACACTGCACGGGAGGTACGGTGGAGTGAGGACCCAGACCAGGGAGCCACCTGTTCCTGTAGCTTGCGTACATTTAGTTCACACCACCTCAGGCCACTCACACTTTGCTTACCTGCTCATTGTTGCTCTCCCACCATTCCCCATACTCCCTTTGGGGGTGAAACACTCTATTTCCGACTTGTGCTGGGCCAGTCTCCTGTCTTTGTACCTGGTGAGCACGAACAGGGACAGGAGCAAACAGAGAGATGTGATTGTGTGCTTCCCTGGCCGGGCTGAGGAAGAGCTGGGGCTGCAGAGGGTGGCCCCTCGCCCGAACAGGGCTCCTGCTTTCACTGCGGTGGCTGACCTGTGATGCTATAGATGGTTGTGATGGTATATCGATAACACTGGGGGGTAATTTTGTTACTCCTTGGTTGAGCCACATGTGATCTACCCTTTTACATTGCCTATTGATCATATTTAATAGTCAGTGGTAAAAAGGATGTAATTCATAGCCTCTAAGAAAAAGATGAATATCAGTACATTAGAATTTAGTGTTTACCATATGCCAGACCTGGTGCTGGAATTTGACCCAAATGTAGTCCTGGCAACAACTTGTGGCAGAGCCTCTGCTATTATTGTATCCATTTTACTGAAGCAGAAACCTAAGGTTATAAGGATTAAGTAGATTGATCAAGGATTTTGGACACAGGAATCTAAGTTCAGAACCTACACTTTTAGCCATTATAATGTGTTTGCCTTCTAGTTTAAAAAGTTATTCTTATCATTAATGAACCTTCAGTGAGTGGTACTGTGTCTGAGCATGATACTAGAGACTGGAGATGCCAAAAGAGAAAAGAGACGTTCCTTGGATGTGAGAGGTTTACGTAACCATTAAGCTGAAGTGTGACAGTCAGTATTGGGCTGCTTGCATTGTGGTGAGTGGCTTAAACAGCTTTTATATCAGACTTAGCAATTCACCACACCTGGAAGGTACTAGAAATTTCATCTAAAATAAGTTAAGAGATTTCCAACATTTGTCTGCTACATGGTGCATCAAGATGAACCCTTATACTTGTATGACAGTTTTCAGAGCCAACATGCTTTCACAGAAATAATCTCTCTTTTTAATTCATCAGTTTAAGCCTGTGGGGTAATTAAAGAGGCATCGTTATCCCCATTTGCTGAATGAGGAAACTGAGACTTACTTAACTGACTTGACCAAAATCACAAGGCTAGTGAGTAGAGAGTAATAGTCAGTAGAGCTTGCAAGCGTCCAAGGCTCTTAAGGTTTATTATCTTTATTACATTTTCCCTTCTAAATCTGGAGCCTGATCTGGTGCCACTTCATCCACGTTCCTGTTATTCAGCAGGCAGTGATAAAGTGACTATCAGAAGGCCTGTTTACTCTTGATATAGTCACTTTTTAAAAAAGTTTTCTTTTTCTGCTGTCTCAAAATTCATGTTAAATAAAACAAAAGGCAACAAAATTAAAATCATTATTTGTCCCGGGGTAAAGGGCTTGCTCATAACGTTTTTCTCTTCTTAGATGTGAAAAGTATTTAGTATTTGAGTGAAAGTGAAATGGCTCGTTAAATCAAGCAAAATGGATTACCTTCTTCAGTAAACATTAGTTGAGCATCTATTAAATTCTAGGCAATGGGCTTTGTCCTAGGGATAGAGAGATAAATAATCTTCAGGTCCTACCTCATAGAGCTCACAGTCTCATGGGAGAAGGAAGGGGAGAAGACAGTATGTACACAGTAACTTTAGGTCTAAGCCATAAAGAAGAGAGGAAAAGAACTTAAAAGACTTTCTTTGAGAAGGTAAAGCATTGGACCAAACCAGATTGAGCAGCTTTTATTTCACCAAAGAAAACACCTTGGAAGAGGATCCCTTCTGAAGTACCAATCATCGAAGGACATTCCACATTTCAATAGAAAATATTTTGTGTTTATTTGTGAATTGGGTTGCATAGCCAGAATGCTGCTCTAGAGCTTAAATTAAAAGAATATTAATAGAATAATAGAAGTATTCATGGTTCCTTACAAAGGGTTCCTTAAAAGTATTTTTGAATATCTTCTGTTAGGCTAATTTCCAGTTAATTTAAATTTTTTCATAGCTAATTTAGGACATCTACACTGTTCATGCCCCAAAGCTCTTCTTTCTGTCTCTATCTATGTCGCTCTGTCTCTCTCTCTCTCATGTACACACACACACATATGCACACACTCTGCCAGGTGCCCCTGCTTATGAAACATCTTATTCTCTCATAACCCACTCTCTTTTGGTAAAAGATTTTACAAAACAAAATAAAAAATACAAATCCCAACTTATTCCAATAAAGCAAGAGATACATTAGACTTATTTAGAAGTTTCAAATAGTTCTTGTATCCAAGGTGAAAATGTCATTTACAGATTGGGAAGCTTATCTTTGCTTTGGGATGGGACACTTCTTCCTGTCTATAACTATAATTACAGCTTAACTATGTTTACCAGATACTTAAATAAACCACATTTTCATTCATTCACTTATTCATTATTCCATTCACCATAATGTACTGTTTAAAGTAGCTAATAATGCTTTTATAATCTCTGCTGCAGGTGTAGAATTCTTTGCATTTGGGCTTATTGCAGAACTATAGAACTGTCAATTAAAGCAGTTAAAGCTTTTCAGAGTTTATAGCTAATAAAATATCAGTGAAAATTACTTCTCTTATATAATAAATTCATATATCTTTTAGGCACTTACTAAAGCAGAGATATACACACAGTTACGCACACATGTCCACACTTACTTTTGAGGTACTGTTTTACGTGCTTTACAAATATTAACTCAGTTTTCAAATAAAATGCTTTGTGATTATATTCAAGGTCATAATAGAAATAATAATGATGACAGAATATTGAATGTTCCAGGTTCTTTTTGGTATATTATCTTCAATTCTTAAAACTACCCTACAAAGTAGGTGCTATTTTCCTTACTCCAAAGAGGCAGGCCTTGAGGATCAGGGTCCGTAAGCCCAAGCTTACAAGGTTTATGAATGGGGAACCCAGTATTAGAAAATGACTCCAAAGCTCATCTTATTTCCATTCATCTTCCATATAAGTAACAATGTCAGTAATTTTAGAAACAAAACTATGAAGACTTATTATTTACCTTTTCTCTTCTAGGCCCCATTTTGCGAATAAGTAGTAGAGTTAATAAGGATGGCTAGTGGAGGAGCTAGTGTAGGACTTTACATTGTGTTCCCTCATTTGGGTTCCTATAGATGCAATACATATGTTTAATTTACAGCATTCAAACCATTTACTGAATACCCCATGTGCAAGGCACTGTGATAAGGAGCACGTGGGTAACTCTATGCCATTGATAAGTTCATAGCCTGGAGTGGGAGGATGAAATGTAAGCAGATAATTTTCAAACAACGTGAGAAGTCTTATTATAGAAACGGATGCAAGGAGGACTCCTAACCCATACTAGAACGGCAGGAAAAACTTCAGTGAGATATGATCCCAGAGTAAATCTTGAAAGATGAGTAGGAATGCAGTATGAAAAGATGGGTACGCAGGCAGAAGAAAAATCAAGAGCAAACAGCATGGTGTACACGGGGAAACAGTGCTTGGTGTTTTTTACTGTAACCTAGGGTAAATAACACAAGGTAAAATGCACGGTGTGGATGGAGAGGCTAAGAAAAAAATGTGGTCAGAGTTGACATTTAGATAAAATACTATGGACTTGAGGGAATGGAACTAGAGATAGAGCGACTCATTCTATTGTAATAGTTCATGTGAGAGATGTTGAGATAATTCCTTGGGGTAGTGATAATAGGAGGAAAATGAGAGAACAGTTTCAAAAATACTTAGGAGGTAGAATGAGTAGGATTATCGATGAGTTTAAGAGAGAAGTGTAGAATGCTACCTCGGTTACTGCCTTGGGTGGTGCACTTAACTAAGTTAAGAAAATATAGGAGAAGGAGTATATTTGGAGGAAGAAATAAAAAGCTTCATTTTGGAATATTGGGTTTGAGATGCTGGTGGGACATACAATTGGACAAATTCAGTAGGCACATGGGTTTAAGAATCCAGAAGTTAGGGGACTATTATGTACTTGGGAGACATTAGCATACAGATGACTGCAAATACCGCGAGAATGGTTGAAAGTGCCCACAGAGAGCAGGTAAACTATGGGGTGGTGGAGGGCAGGGTTACAGACTTGCTCATTCTACCTGTTCAGAAACTCCTCTAACACTGTTAGTGGAAGCATTCCCTCTAAATGTTTTCTGAGTACCTGCTATACGCTAAATACTGAATTCAGGGTTCTTCAGTCTGCTGTTTTTTTCCCTTTACAGTCTCCAGACTTGTAGATCTGTGCTCAATATAGCTTTGACACTTTGGTTTCTGGGCCATAATCTTAGCGTGAAAATCTGTCACAATAGGTTTAAGAGATTTAAGAATGATTTGTTCTGAAATTAGCTTTAGTTGCTGTCTATGAAGATTTTTTTTTTTTGATTCCTTTTGTACCTCCTTTGTCCAGGAAGCTCTAGTTCCTCTTTACTCACTTCTACAAGAGCCCATGTTCATCTGGCGAATTTAAAAGATATGGGGGTAATCGCTCAGGATTGGATAGTAAATGTAATTTCTCCATAATGATTTGAATAAAAAATTCCATTTCTTTACTCCCTTTCCCCTGTCTCTCCCAATATCTACTAGACACTGGATTACTGAAATTTCTATATAGGCTACGTGGTCCAGAATGGATAAATGAGTCCAGAGTGAGGTGAAAGACCAGAATAAAATGAATAAATTCAAAGAAGAATGTGTATATTAGGTGAAAGAGCAGGTATTGTGGGGATGATGCCTGAAGCTAGAAGGAAAAGAGAGAGTTTGATATTAGACATAAGGATTCCTTATGGGAGGGAGATTCAGGTAATATGTTTACCAGAGGTAGGATGGCTAAAATGATAATTCTAATTGCGTTAGAATTTAATCATTACAATTGAGAAATGAGCCCATGGTGATGGTTTCCTCTTTATATAGGCACTAAAGTAACCCAGAACGATAGCAGAGCTTGGGGTGGACAGAAATTCTTTACCCAGAAGTTGGTAGTGAATAGTAATTTTAAAGAAAGTTGAAAGATAGAGGGATAACTAGATGTCAAGAGCCTCAGTGGGATAACTAGATGTCAAGAGCCTCAATGAAGGCGGTTTTTCACTTTTACATTTCTGT